GCTAGCCTTGAGCTGAAGAGCTGAGGGACAGCACCCAGGCCCAGAGTTCAGGCCCCATGACCGGCAAAAAAAAAAAAAAAAGTGGTAGAGCCTTGAGTAAAAGAGCTCATGGACAGCACCCAGGCCCTGAGTTCAAGTCCCACAACCAATAAGAAAAAGAAAGAAAAGATTTACTGTGCATTGTAGGAAGGTGCTTGGGCCCCTGGCTACCTTAAAGATCTGGGATTTCGCTCAGTTACTTGGTTATCCGGTCTCCACTGTGGTGATTGCTTTGTTACCACCTCATGGGGCTCCTTGGTTCAGAGACTTCTTGGCTGCTGAGCGGAGGCCAGCAGAAATACTCTTCTAGAAGTTTCTAATATGTCCGAGCTTCTGGATATTGAAGCTGAAGATCACACTGTTGGCTTCGAGTGTGGGTGAGGGTTAGCGCTGTGGTGTTTGGTGAGAGACTCGTGTGCTGCCAACTTGTGTGCCCGGGATTTTGGTGTCTGGAAGACCAGCAAGCAAGGCAGCTGTGTGGATGGCAGGGTACTTGCCCTGTCCAGCTAGGCCCTGACCCTCCGACAAACAAGTCTCCTCTGTAAGCCAGAGCTGGACAAAGATCTGATTTAGAGAAGCAGCTCTGACCTTTGTGCTCCACCTTCATGGAAGATTCTAGAAACATGTACAACTCTCTAGAGATCCTTTACTTTTGTTACAGTCATTAAAGACCCAGGAGGGCAATAAGATGTGGGCTTGACCAGGCAGGAGCTTGTGAAGGAGGAGGTAGCAGTAACATGGTGGATGTAAGTGGAGCGGATTTTGGAAAATCAGCGTGGTGGGAATCGGGTTCCGGTGCGAAGGTGCAGATCCGGCCTGTTGGGCGGTGCTGGCTGGCCTCCTTCTCACTGACCACTCCTCAGTGCTGGCCACCGCAGCCACAGCCTCCACAGCATCAGGACACAAAGGACAAATAATTGTAGCTGTCACAGTCAGAAATAGACTCTGTGTTGGGAGCCATGACCGGGCCGAACAGGGCTGCCCTTCCTCTTTCCTTTTGGGGACACAGTTACCCCACTGCAGGCTGCAGGCCAGGCTGAGTACAGGGCAGGCTTAGAACCCACAACCTGGGCTTATTCCTGCCTAGAGGACAAGAATTGATACACAGCCGCAGAACGCGGGCGCTTCGCCCCGACAGACAGACAGCCCTGGTTTAGGATTCGTGCATTTCCCGCCCGCTTCCTCCCGCCTTTAGGTGCAGGGACTTGTGCAGTTTCCTATTTCCTCTGGGATCCAAAGGCTTTTCTCAGAAATGCTGGAGATACAAAACACGCAAGAACAAAGGCCATGGCCATGGTAATTAAAACCATAAATATAATGAGCCAGGCATCGGTGGCTCACACCTGTCATCCTAGCTACTCAGGATGCTGAGATCCGAGGATCGTGGCTTAAAGTCAGCCCCGGCAGGAAAGTGCATGAGATGCTTATTTCCATTTAACTACCAAAAAAACCCCAAACCCCAAACAAACAAACAAAAACTACACCAGAAGTGGCGCTGTGGCTCAAGTGCTAGAGTGCTAGCCTTGAGCAAAAATAGCTCAGGGACTGCACGTAGGTCCTGAATTCATGCCCCAGGACTGTGTGCATGTGTGCGTGAGTAACACAAACACAGACACACAGAGATAGAACTTAATTATTTGGAAATAGCTTAAGTGTCCATCCATAGAACCTGTTACAGAAAGTGTGGTATAAGCTGCACAGTGGAATACTATGCTGCTATAGTAAAAGAATCCTCTGTATTGATGTGGAATGATCCTCAAGTCACATTTTTTTTTTTTTTGGTCGGTAGTGGGGCTTGAACTCTGGGCCTGGGCGCTGTCCCTCAGCTCCTCAGCTCAAGGCGAGTGCTCTACCACTTGAGCTACAGCGCCACTTCCGGTTTTCTGGTGGTTTTTATTGGAGATAGGAGTCTCACAGTCTTTCCTGCCTGGGCTGGCTTTGAACCACGATCCTCAAATCTCAGCCTCCTGAGTAGCTAGGATTACAGGCGTGAGCCACCAGCGCCAGGCTCAAGTCACATTTTTTTTAAGTCAGTTAAAAAAAAAGCAAGATGCAAAACCATGCGTTTACTGTGATTTGTATCAAAGGTTGTGTGTGTTTGTAAGTGCCCATGTGCATAGATCACCGGAGGTTACATGGGAGTCCAGTAGCTTTGATCTCTCTGGGCAGAGCACTAGGTGGCTGAGAACAGGGGGAAGAGGGATCCACTTATACTTTATGCCCTCTTGAATTTTGAAGCAAGGAGATATATCAGCAGTCCAAAAGGTAAGTATAGAATATGGACTAACATGAAG